GAGAGGAGAGATTTTATTCTTAGGTATAAAAACCTCCTACTACTTTTGTACAAATTTTCTACCAATCGATCTAAAGATGCTTGAAACCAAAGTTTTGGCCAATCATCTACTCACATAAATGGAATGCAATTAGGGATCTTCATCGTGTGCGAAAAGATAGGAGGAGAGTCCCTTGAAGATTCGTCTTTCGCAGCAACTCACAACGACCACTGCACCCAGATGTTTGAGGATAGGTATAGGTTTGTGCAACGAAAGAAATACTTGATAGGATTACGAATCGTGAAACGATAACTTTCAGACTAAAGTTATTTCGGGCAAACTAAAATAGTTTAATCGGATTAAATGTTAACATTAAAGAACAAGTATGAAAGCTTTCTAGAAGAAGACTATAGTCACTTGGACTTATTCTTGGTTTTTTTACCGAAATAGGTTAATGAATATTTAGAGGCAAAGTACTGATCAAACATGTCTTTTGAATTGAAAAGTTGTGTCTGTTTAGTACCTATTCAATAACATACATCATATTTGAATATGAGATCATTTTTGAAGGATCAGACACATCTCTTCCGTGGCTTATTCAAATAGGCAAAGACCTATTGGAATATGTTAGCATATTTATTTGAATAGGTACTCACAGTTCACACTAACCTATTTGAATAGGAAAGTGCCTATTTGAATATGCTAGCCATCTTTTTTGGAATAATAATATAATTGAGCGAGCAAGTACTCCACACCTCCTAACTCGTTTCAATAGTTATTATCATTTAATGTCTAGTCACTAAGTAAATCCAATTACCCAAAATAGCCTGATATACTAAAATCACCAACAATCTATTAGATATGCCGAATCTCTTGTTTTGATGTTAACAAACAATATATGAGCTAATGTTTGTTTAAGTGTTTCAGGTACAACAAAAATTTATTAAGAATGGGTTCTCAAGAACGAAGTTGAAACACCAAATTAGCGTAGAATATAGGTAGCATTGTATGTAAGGATATGATTTTATATACCTAGATTCACAAGCTCAATATGTACTCACAAACATGCTAAAAATGATTTTCTAAACTCAATTTTGCACATGTACCAAAATATTTTCCATTGGGTATTTATTTTTTAGTAAAATAATCAAATAAATATTTTCAAAAAATATATTTTGTGAATTTTGAAAAACTTACAATACAAAACTTAAAGAAGTTATGACCATTTTTCTAAAATCATAGGTTCAACATGTAAAACATGTACTAGGCTATAGACGGTCGAGCCATAGAACCGTTTAGAAGCAATGGTTGACCATTGCGTGGCTGTGTAGTTGAAGTTTAATCGGTATCGAAATGCTTATGGCGGTAGTAAGGTACCATGAGACGATTTCTTGCTACCATTTCCCGTAAGGATTCAAATTTGAATTTTAATAACCTTTGAGCACCCATAATAACCCTTAAATGAACATCAACATTCATTAATCTTTCTCAACTATAAATAGACCATAATCCTTCATTTTAAACAACAACCCAAGCTCCCAAACTTCATATTTTATATTCTAAGTGTGTTTATTCTTATGTTCTTCATTCTTATTTATGGCTATTTCAAGAGCCATCTTTCTCTAGTGTTTTATACACACACCACTGAGCTTGTGGTATAGATATATACTCTCATATATATAGGTTAATATTGTATCTTTTCTAGAGAGTATATTTTTGTTCTACTTGGCTAAGTCTTTTTCTTCATTCATTTATTAAGCCGTTGTGTATAAGGTATATTTGTATTCTCAAACACACTTTCTTAGGGTCGAGAGTAGCTGTTAAATTCTTAAGTTGTAACGGTTAAGGATATCTGAGAAGGCTTTGGATAAAAGGTTCAAGGATAGCCTTTCAAATCTTTGGGGATAATTGTTGAAGATAGCCATGAAATTTTCATTGTAAGCGGTTCGAGACACCCGTGGTGAAATTATCGACTTGAATCCTATTGGTAAGGGTTGTTTTCCAAATCTAGTACGGTACTTTGATGGAGTTCAAGAGATTGGGACTTAGTAGATTTAGAAATCCTTAAGAAGGAGCCTAAACCAGTCTAATATTGGTGTGTATTTACTATACACTTTTAATTCTACATTTTATTTATTGCTTCTGTATTTGCTAACACCTATTTTATTAAACTCTCAAAAGTTTCTCAATGCCTCATTCACCCCCTCTAAGGCGTGGGCACATCGACTTACACAATCCTCCCCTACTTTAGTGTAGTCCTTGATTTACTTAGATTGTCTCAAAATAAAATAACAAACTCATGCATAAATAAAATATCGTGTCGATTGAATCTTATGTTAGTATATTACATGTTCTAAATACTCGAATATCGGGGTGTCACTAGCGATTGAACCCTTTTTATTTATTTGAATACATGGAGATAATGGACACATGAATTCAGCATACTCCTTGTTCTTGCTTGACACTTTTTTGACTAACCTTGTGTCCCTATCTTTCAACAAGCATATAAAAGCCAATTCCAATGCTTATTGAAGCGGCTAAACTTCATGCTACATATACGTTATTTTTTGTCTTGTACCTGCATATACAATTTTTCAAAAGAACCATTTAGAAGATATACTTCAACCACCTCAACTTGCAGGTCTGAACACATACCTTTGGGATAAATGAAAATAATGTTGATGTACCCCTGGGCGGCTCCACTAAAATCCCAACCTCTCCCAAAATATCCAAAAGTCTTATCTTCATTTGATAATCAAAATAAAGTCTTTACCCTCCTTTTTAACCTTGGACGAAAATGAGGACCAAAAAGACAAACCTTGTGTGTTATTTTCTACTCCTTTTGTTCCTTTCATTAAATAAAACCTTCCCCTTATTTTCCTACACCTTTCCCACGAAATTCCCACCCTTTTTCTCCCCAAAATCAGGAGAAGCATCTTGGAAAATCAGCTCACATGGAAGGACATTAATCTTTGATTTTTAGGAAAGAAGTAGGAAGTTTCCTTTATTGTATTTTTCCTTATTTGTTGTTGTATAAATACTTCAGCCATGAGGCCATTGTAAAAGAACCAGATTATTGAATTAAAAACCTTGTTTACTCTTTTGAGTAATTCCTTTAAAATAGTGTGATGCTATTTTAACCAAATTTTCTAATGAAATATCTCTAAAGTTGGCTACTTTTGAGTGCGTGTTAGGAGTCTAATTTTATACATTAGTAGTGATTATTAATGTGTAAAAGAAGATAAAAGCCCCAAGTTAAGATGAGAGTGTGTCATATCTCTTAACACCAACTTGGTTTATCCCTTCACTTTATTTCTGCCCATTTCATTCCTCACCATTTCTTCTTCTTAAACTTATTCTTTTCTCTCATTGAAAACACCAAAAAGAACTCTTTCCCACACTCCATATTTCACCCCTTCAATTCCAACATCCATTTCCTTCCGCAAATCCGCCACAAAATAGCTACTCGATAAGACCCCGGGTCTCGGGTACAACAAATGTGCTCCATTCTCTAGATGTTAAGCTTTCCATATTGAATTCAGCATCTAAGTCTTAACATGTGAGACATCATACAGACCTTAGCCACTCGGCCTCTTTACTGTCTGAAGCTAATGCAACAAACATAGATTCCATTATCAAGGTGATGCAAGTTTGCTTCTTTAAACCCCGGGAGATGTCTCCTCTGCCAAGTAGAAAAACCCATCCAGTAGTTGAAGAAAAATCTCCCATATTAGTAATCCAACTTGCATCCGAGTAACCTTCTAAAATAGAAGAATCTCCACTGTACACCAAACCATAATCCATGGTTTTCCTCAAGTATTTGAATACCCTTCGTATAGCTTACCAATGGTGTGTACCAGGATTGCTTGTGAATCTACTAAGTTTTCTTTATCCAGTCTCGTGCTAACCATGGCATACATTAAGTAGCCAATAGCTCTTGAGTATTAAACTTGAGACAAAACCTTGCCTTCATTAGGCAAGAGTTTAATACTTGTCCATAGGGGTGCTAACCGGAAAAGAATTTTCATAATTGAATTTCTTCAATATTTTTTCAATGCAATGGGATATCTATGAATCAATCCCATTGCATTGAAAAAATATTGAAGAAACATCATCAGACCACTGTTGATTAACTACTGTTTATGCAAACACAGTAGTTGAAAAAAAACAGACTACTGTAAGTTTTTCTTGGGAACAGAACCGTAGTCTAGCTGCTATGCTTTAAAACTATTTTTCAAGTTTCGAGAAACGGTAATGTATCACTAGTTGTCTGTCTCAGTTCAAAATACAGTTTTTCTTACCACAGTTGTAAATAACAAGTTAAGAATACTCTTTTTAAACAATAGTCTGGGTTGTAATTCTAGATCTGTTTTTAAATTTATTAGAAACAGTTATCTATTGTTTGTTGTCTGTTTCATATGATTTTTTTGCCACTGTTGTTTATAATAGGAATAGAAGACTGTTTTAGAACAATAGTCTATGAATTATGGGTAGAACTGTTTTTGAAGTTGTGAGAAATGGTCCTCTATTATTAGTAGTCCGTTTCACCTAAAATACAGTTTTTGTTGCCACAGTTGTCAATAATTAGTTAAGACTACTATTTCTAAGCAATAGTCTGGTTATTTAATTTATAACTGTTTTTAAACTTATAAGAAATAGTATTTTATTGTTAGTTGTATGTTTCACACGGTTTTGTTTTGCATAGTTGTTTATTACAAGAATAGTTGACTCCCTTGTAACACTAATATATTTATATAGCGTAGAACTATTTTTAAAATTCATAGAAACCGTAATCTATTACAAGTTGTTAATAATAATTTAAGAATACCTTTTTTAAACAGTAGTTAGATTATTAATCCTGGAACTATTTTTAAAGTTTTGAGAAACCGTAATATATATATATATATATATATATATATATATATATATATATATAATATATATATATAATATATATATATATATATATATATATATATATTAAAAAAAACATAATAGATGTATATCAACCCAAATAAACAAGTTGCAATCCACATTAATTCAAAAACAAACATAAGTTCCATGAAGAAATTATCTTCTTGAACACAAAATTGGAACACTAAATGCGCCAAAACAAAGGATTGTGCCCATAAGGTGTCTTAAACAGCCGTCAAAAACGCTCTTCCAGGTTGACGATTTGCAAGTGGCCCATGGCATCCAAGGAGCTTGGCATTGACACCATCATTCACAAGACGATTCTCTTTCTTGTAGTTCACATAGTCCGAGCTGTTCAACTTGGTGAATCCCCATTTGCGGCTAACAATGATCTTTTGACGGCCAGGGAACTTAAACTTTGCACGGCGAAGGGCCTCCTGAGCATGGACTCCATTGGCATCCTTGCAACGAATAGAGAGAAGAACTTGTCCAATGGCAACTCGGGCACAAACCCCCTGTGGCTTCCCAAAAAGCACCTCACATTCCAGTTTGGAGCCTATCAGCTCCAGCACATGACAACATCTTGTTAATACGCAAGACATGGAAGGGGTGAACCCTAACCCTCAGATGGAAGGCATCTTTTCCCGCAAACTTTGTCATGTACTTGTTACAGGCAATCCGTGCCGCCTAAAGTGCCTCACTGGACACATTTTCCTTTTCCCAACTGACCAAATGCACACAGTAGGGGAACTCATCAACCCCCTTTTTCTTCATCCCCACATCATAGATCCTCTTTGGGTCTGGCACACCACGGTAGTACCTTGACTTTGGGTACGGCTTGTTCTTGATAACTCTATCAGTAAAATCAAAATCAGACTATCAGCCATCAATTTAGAGTAGAAAAAAACTCTAAAACTAACATCAAGTCATTTAGATTGACAATAACTGAAGGGAGAACACATACCTCAATGATCGTTAAGAGATGGTCAGTGGTTGCCTTCACCAATCCAGCTTCAATTGGACAAAGGTCTCCACCTAATGATTGAATTATGTCTTCTATATCCATTTTAAATCTGAATACATGCATCTGAAATTAGATTATTTACAGAATACAAAATGCATATAAGTGTTTAGAAAATATGAAGACATTCTCGACTCTTTAGAAATACAAGAATCACAAACAGAATACCAGAAAATGGGATGGAAAACGAGCAAAAAGCATGGGTAAACCTGGACTTGAAGAACTCGCTGTGAACAGTGACTCCGAGTCCAAAATTTTTGCTCAATTCGCAGCTTCCTTCAACCGGTTTGGAAAACCAATTTCAGGTGTTGAAAGAGCATCCGAAGTCGCCCATAATCCCCCAAAAATTGGCCTTCAAACGAGCTTGGACCGAGATGAATTGAACCTTCAAAAGTCGCAGATGAACAGTAACTCGAGAAGGTTGACATGCGATTCTTGCTCAATCCAGCGCCCAAAACGTCAAATTGAGCTGAAGAATGGATTTCCATGCCCAAAACGATTCTAGAGCTCTAAGAATCGGTCCAAAAATTCAACAAATTCAAGGTGAAAGCGGGTTTGAGATCGGCAGTGAACAGTAACTCGTGGAGACTGCCCAGCGATCCAAAACCTGTGATTGATGTTAGGCGGGCAATGAAAAATAGGGAGGGATTCTAAAATTTGAGATGAGCTTTAAAATTTGAAAAATGCTGGGTACACCAAATGTGTACCCCATTTGTACCCCACCCCCTCCTTGTCCACAAA